TCCCCAACAGCGATGTGCCCTGTGAGGACGTCTGCGGGAATACTTTACCCCATGAAATATGGGACAATATAGCGAAGACGGTTGCCTTTCTCTCTGTGCTGTGAACTGCTCACGAAGACTTTTGACCTATCAGCACAGCTACTTCAGGGAATACAATCCGTCTTGAAAGGGCTAACCTTCTGCTTTATTAAATCGCTTTTTCACTTTCTCTTTATGCGTTGGATAGCCCTCCATTCCTAGCCGAATCTTCTTCAAACCTCTTGATTTCAATACCTGAACATTAATAATACAACTGCAGAAGATCTACGTTTTAGACGCGGAATTTCCACGCTAACATTTGTAAGGCAGCGTTCAGCTTCGCGATGACGCGCGTCAACGCGCTATCATTGGCGCATTGGCGCTCCAACGGTATACGGGAGCGCAGCCACGGACGATTATCGAGCAAGGCAGCCGCTACTGCTATGGGAGACAGTATGGGAAAGTTCCCAAACGCTAGCGACCGGCGCCGCTCGACCTCTCTATGGCTGCGTTCCCGCCTATAGCATTTGAGTACGATGGGGCGCCGCCGCGCGACTCAGCGCGTCGAGGCGCGTCACCGCGAAGTATGAACGCTGCCTAAACATCGAAATTCAATTGTTTACCTGTTTCGCACAGTCCCGATTCTCAGCATACTTGAAAAATTTGTACAAATGCGAACTGTACACAACATGGGTGGTCTCTTCGCCCATTTGTGGCGGATACTCATCATCCCAATCCACTACATCTTCATCGAGTAACACCACTATATGACATTCTCGTTCGCCATGCTAAAAAGGGAGTTTTATAACGTCTGATTGAAGCCCAAGAATATGACAAACTCGTTTACGCGGGTAATAATACCACAGACTCACTTCAGTACTCGCAACTAGTTGAGGAAGTATAATCTCCTCCAGGAAGTTCGAAAAAAACTGTTCTCGGGCTCCTTTTCGTTCGATTAAGCTCATGCAAAAAAGTGCATTGCAGTTTTGGCATCTGCAATAATGCAGCATATGGTGGGCAGATGAGGCCAAAAATGGAGCGTTCGACTTGGTGGGGCCATTTTGGTGGCTCGTATCGATCACCGCCAATGCTTTTGAGACCTGTGAAAGCTATCAGTAGCATGAGCTTCGTGTATCATTCGACCAAGGATTTTACACAGGTTCTCGTCAACTCGTAAAACTCGTCAAGACGTGTAATTCAACAGGAACTATCAAAAGAAACTGGGGAAAATACGGAAATGCCCCTCCCCTCGCCGAAAAGCGCCAAACGCTACTTCCAGCAGCCTTCTGAGCGCACCACAACGTGACAGAATGCAACTGTTCCATGAAAAATTTTGAAAAAAAATGAAACTCGTTCAGAAAAAAACTACTTACTTCACTGTGCTAGCATTGAAAGGTATGAGAAGGTAGTCGCACGCGTCACGCAGCTCCGCCACTGAGATGTTCGGTGGACAGCGCATTTGGCCATGGGTATAGTATTCCAAAGCAACTCGGAAACACGCAGCGGTTGTACCGTCAGCCACCTGTAACCGAAGTGAGACTTGAGATAAAGATAAAAAATTGGAAAAAAAATCAAGCGAAATATTTACGGTAGGCAAAACGATTTCAATATGGGGGCTACTTTCCTCATTTCCTGTTCCCTTCCAAACAACCGTACCCATGAAACTCAACATTTTTTTCAGATTTCATGACCTGTAGATCTGTGACTGACTCAGTAATACTAACAACCTTGTCCAAGACAGAAATAAAGAACGAAAAGGAGTAACCAGGTAGCCGTCAAATGTGCTCTGAGGCATACCGTACGGTAACTGAGTGGGCGGAGACACCCAGCCATTGCACCTTCTTCATTGGTGCGCCTCCTTTGTGATACGCTAGCGAAAACAGGCCTGCTAACGAGGAAGGCATGATGACGGGGTGTCCCCGCCCTCCATTGTCGTGCAACGTGCCCTTACGGTAACAATATCTGAGCACGTTTCTATTTAGTCTTGTTCGCTGCGAATGCCGGGGCGCGTCAGGAACGAACGGTTCGGCGCCTCAACCCATTCTCCACCGAATGTGGAATCGAGCTAGCGACAGAGAGAATCAGTGGAAAACTGGCGTCGCGTCCAACCCAGCCCCCTGACACGCCCCGCACCCGCTGCGGTCAAGACTACGCCTCAGGTCAAGGTAAAACTGAAGGATCACAAAGTAGAAACTCACCACAAATTCATTTCTCTCATTCGGAGTAACCATATCGGAACCGGGACCTCTCGAATCACGCATCGCAAACATTCGACCAAGCATCGTGTCCGGATGGGAGGTCAGAAGTTTCTGGTCGATCAGGAAACGCATATCGTCACATACCAAACAGACTTTGTTCTCTGAATAGATGTTACTTAATTAACGATCACGCAGAAAATTTGAAAGGAAATTTTTCTGCATCGATTGGCGTTGTCATAAAATTCTTACATT